AAGACGTAAATAGATTCCAAGTAGACACGATCTCTTAAATAATGATGATGATAATAATAATAATAATAATAATAATAATAATAATAATAATAATAATAATAATAATAATAATAATAATAATAATAATAATAATAATAATAATAATAATTTCCCCGGAAGTAAAATTACATTATCACGCGGCAGTGAACAACATAATTAAATTTCAACATGGATAAAAATACTTTCCTTTCAAAGTATTTATGAGTGAGACAGTGACGGTTAAGGGTGAAACAGTGTTAGTGGGACAGTGACGACCAAGGGTGAAACAGTGTCGAGGGAAATTTTATCGTAATTTTCATGGTTGAATTTGTTTACCTGTCAACCATTACTAACCCTCACTAACGGACATACACACTTACAGTCATATATAGATACATGACTACATACATGTACACATATCTATCTCAGGATTTACACATATAAGTATACACAAACACACACACATACACACACACACACACACACACACACACACACACACAAAATAAACGTACATCTCCCAACACCTTAATGATATCAGTTTACACCTGAGTAGAATTAAATTACAGAATAGCGAGATAGGGGCACCTTTTTTAGTGTTATAGGGCAGAGAATCTACCCTAACCTAGCCTAACCTACCCTAGCCTAACCTAGCCCAACCTAACCTAGCCCAACCTAACCTAGCGCTTAAAGTGTTATATTATTACATTATGATCTGAATTAAACAAAACAAATCAGAATTAATATTAAGTTTGTTGGTTGAATATTTAATTAAAATAGAACGTTGTTATTTTTTTTTTCTTCTGAAGGATAGTGGAGCGGTGATGAATGGGGGGTGTGGGATGGGGGGGTGGATGGGGTGTGTGATGGGGTGGGGGGTGGATGGTGGGGGGTGGAGTGATGGGGGGAGGTGTGAGGTGAGTAATGGGATGGGGGAGGGGAATGTGAGTTTAGTGATGGGGGGGGAAGGAGGTGAAGTGAGTAATGCAGACGGTGGGATTGAGTAAAGGGAGAGGAGGGTGAGAGATGAGGAGAGGAGGGTGAGGGATGAGGAGAGGAGGGTGAGGGATGAGGAGAGGAGGGTGAGGGATGAGGAGAGGAGGGTGAGGGATGAGGAGAGGAGGGTGAGGGATGAGGAGAGGAGGGTGGAGGTTAAGAGAGAGGAGGATAGAGGTGGGGAATGAGGAGAGAGAGGAAGCAATTAATTCTCACAGCACACACACACACACACACACACACACACACACACACACACACACACACACACAGGATAATTTCACTCAGCCTTTTGTTGTCATAAATGGAGGGAAGAATATTGTGGACTTGATCGTCGTGTCTGAGTCGTTACATAAGTTAATGCGTCAAGTGTGTTCCTACATCCCCAATCAAAGGTAAAAATTAATGCACTTACCTTTGAGAATTTAAGTCCATGTTACTGAGTTGTAGTTTTTTTTTTAATGATTGTGTCATATTTTCTGCTGGACCTGACATTAAGGATATTTATCTAACTCAGCTAAAATTAATGTCGACGGAAGTAACGAAATATCTGAACATTTATTGTAAGCTTGTATTTATTTATTTTTTTTTTGGGGTAAGATGAAAACTCTCAACCACAAAATCCCCACCAGTTGCCAATTACACCACAAACAACCCGGTCCACCACAATTACCAAACGATAGAATTAACGTATCGATGAATATGATAATTACACATCGGACTGCACTCTGACCGTCCACCTGTCTGCCTCTGTTCTATTACCCGGCGATCACTCTAAACTTTTAACCACCACTGACGTCACTGATGGGGTCATTTGCCTCATTCTAAGAGGTCATAAAACTCAACTGTTGGGGAGGAGGTCAAGTCGTCATCAGGTAGGTCGTTCAGGTAGGATGTTACTATAATTAGAGGTCGTATATACAGGAGGTCGTTCTGGTCTTAATTTAGGAAAGGATTACGACCAAGAGGTAAGAAAATAAAGACTCTTGCCTCTTAGAAAGGAACTAATATTTTGGTAAAGAGGAAAGTGGACCAAGCATTGATGTTAGAGGGAAAAGTTAGTTAAGTAAGTTACTCTTGATTCAACTTAACCAACGTAGTAATTTTGAACCTCTTTAAGTTATGTTTAGTTTCCACCCAAGCAAGACCTAAACTAACCTAACCTAACCTAAACTAACCTAACCTAACCTAACCTAACCTAAACTAACCTAACCTAACCTTATGTCATTGTTCTTGGTAGTGTCTGGCATAAAGCTCTGTTCTCCTGTCTCCTCTGTTTTTCTCTGTACCACCATTTTACCCCCCACTGCACCGCACCTCTATGAACTTAACCAGACAAACACGTGGTAGAGACAGAGGACACCAAATGCTGAACTCCTGCTAGCATTCATCCAATCACCTCCTTCAAAACCCTTCAGGAAAAATGTCAACACAATTATCGCCCCTTTGTGACCCTATAAAGATGGGTTGGCTGGGCGAGGCGGCCTGAAGCCCTAAATTGAACCCAGGAGGAAGGTTCTTGCGGGGCCCTTGTGTTAATTTTCCTCCTGACTAGTGATGTAAGAACGCCGCCAAATGGTAGGAAAATGAGGCCTCTCTCCTCTCCACCTCACCTGACCCCCTGCCCCAACCTACCCCCCCACACCCTCTCTCTCTCCCTCTCCACCTCACCTGACCTCTGCCCCACCCAACCCCCCCCACACCTGACCCCTGCCCTACCCTACTCTATAATTCCCCACCAAAATCCGGTCCCTTCCTTCCTCTCTCTCAATTCGATTCCCATGACCCTTCTCTCCTCCCCTTCCTGTCTCTCCTGACCCCTCCCTCTCCCCCTCCTCTCACTGCTTCACGTTAGCTTTGGTGCATAGATTAATTCCCAAAGGTTCATCTGTAACTTAAACTAAATGCATTAAGATTACGGGACATAAATACAGTACAATTAGATGTTTTTATTCCACTAATTTAGAAGTAAAGGAAATAAATAAACATATCTACTTGATCTCATGAGCTTCGTCAATAAATTCACTGGGAGTCGTGTAATAAATATCCCCCTTAACTGGGATATAAACTACATGTAATTTGCTCAGCGACATATAGTTGGTAGTCACTTTGATAGTTTACTGCCTTAAGAGGTTGTTTCTTTTATACGGTGTTGAGGGAATATTACACTTAGGTTCCTTAATGAATTATGTTTTTACTTAAGGTGTTATCAGATCACAGGTGAAGTTGTATTCAGAGTCATAATGTTTATTTAGTTAAGTATAGGTATTGGTATTAAATCCAGGTAATAATATCATAAAGGTGCTGTTTTAGCCTTAGTGGGGAGAGTCGAATAAGGAACTGAAGGTTTGTTACCCCAGTACGATAACTACTCAGCCACCCTACTAGTATATGTTCGTGTGTACATTTATACTTTGTGTGTACATGTGTATTTTGTCTACAGCACCAAGTTTGTGATCGTACAGTCACATGGTGAGGAGAGGGGAACTTCTATTACAGTTAGATAGTGTGGAGGAAGACTGTCACAAGTCAACAAGAACAGTTAACGAGGCTCCAAACTTTGGGTTAAGGAAGTAACTGTCATCATATCTCAGACACAGAGCGGCCTGCAACAGAGACTGGCGTGTGTATATGGGGCCGGGTTTATGTGCCGCTATAAATATGTTACCTCAAGACCTGAAAGGAAATTCTTAAAATTCGGGAGAAGCTTTTATAAAGATCCTACATTGCGACTGTCACTTGAGACTTGGCCTTAGATGACGTCAGGGGAGGTAAAATATTTCATCTCTCACTTTCCCTCTCTCCTCTCTCACCTCTCTCTCTCCCTTCTTCTCTCACCTCTCTCCCTCCTCTCTCACCTCTCTCTCCCTTCTTCTCTTACCTCTCTCTCCCTTCTTCTCTCACCTCTCTCTCCCTTCTTCTCTCATCTCTCTCTCCCTTCTTCTCTCACCTCTCTCTCCCTTCTTCTCTCCTTTACCCTCATTTTTGTATTGATCTTTGACCTTGAAACTGAATAGGGAGGGTCTTGTTAGGGTATTTTATTATAGGTTGTAGAATTGTATGACATTTTTCAACTTTTTTTTTCCGTTCTCTCATAAGCTGGTGGGCGTTATCTGCTGCCTCTGTTGTGATGACTTGCAGGATTATCTTCGTAGTGTTAAAAAGATTACAAAGAAAAACAGGAAAACAAAAACAAACTTTACATTCTCATTTATTAGTTTGTATTTCTGTATTTCATCTAGTTTCTTCCCAGGTATGTTAGGTAAATAAGATGATATATTTATACAGTGTGTGTGAAGAACAATTTGGTGGGTAATGTAAGGTAGTGTGTGTGTGTGTGTGTGTGTAATAATAATAATAATAATAATAATAATTAACGGTTTATTGAAAGAGCTTGGCAGCCAGAAGGCTGAAAATATACAGTTACATATTTGGGGAATGGGTTACGAATTACAACTAATATACAAGTGACATAAGTGACACAAATAAGACATATAATAACTAGATGGGGAAAAGCTCAAACTACAGTTCATTTCAACATAGTGACAGTGTAAGGAGCAGTGTTTACTGGGAGTGAATACACTGATTTATTACATGTTATTGATAATTTTTACAATGGTTGGGATTGGGCTATTCTTATAGCGATCAGTTCGTGCACGTATGGGCTGGATGCGGTTGTGGTGTCGAACAGCAATTCTCGGACAGGGGATCTCAGGTGGTAGTAGGGGCCGGTGTCGGGGGATGGTGTAGAAAGCCTACCAAATTTGCAGATGAGGCTGTGGTGATGGTCAGTGAGTCGAAAGGGTCAGTGTGTTGAGCGCTTCTTGATATGTGGAGCAGGAAGGGAGAGAATCTTGCATGCCTCTTTTTGCACTTTTTCTAGGTGTTTACGTTGTGTGGCATTTAGGAGGAAGACCAGGTGGGGGGAGGCATAGGTGAGCTTGGGAAGTATGAATGTTGTGTATACACTGAGGAGCTCGTGTGCGGGAACTCCGAGGGACTTGAGTCGGCGGAGGAGGTGGAGACGGAAACTGTGTGTGTGTGTGTGTGTGTTACCTGTAGTCATTAACTCTGGCTCAGGTAAACCATCACTCGCTACCTGTGTACACCTGTGTCCACTCCTTGATAATGAACACGTCTTATCTTTAATAAATCAACAATATATACAAAATAAGTTTCTAATTAATTATAAAGAGGTACAATAAATTACTAGCAAATGATGAAAAAGACAATTAGTTAATTAATAATACAGTGAATTAAATAATAAATAATGATTGTAGAACATTAGTTAAGTGAATAACAATTGAGTAAATAAATCGTGTAGTAAATGAATAAGAGATAATGAAATATACATGTAGAGAATTAATTTACTAAGTATTAATTAAAACTTTGTCACACCTGGGATACACTTTAGGTCATCAGGCCAGCACACACACACACACACACACACACACACACACTGTAGGTCACTCTTATAGGTCACACTGGTTCTCTCGTCAATAAAGGAACGTCAAAAGTGCTACCAACTTTTAAATAGTTGTGTGTGTTGTGTTCTAAAGTGTACATCTCATAGGAGGAAAGTTTTAAACATTGCACAAGCTCTTGGTGTTATCGGGAAGTATCTCAGGAAATATGTTCCCCTCAGTGACACAACACATTTATCCTGAGGCACCGAGTCGGGCCGCTAGAGGTCATGAGGTCAATATACCAGAGGTCATGTGGTCATTAAGCCAAGGTTCATTAGGTCATTAAGCCAGGGGTCACAAGGTCACAAAGCCACAGTCCGTGATGGTGACCTGGGAGATGGGGTCAATATTAACAACTTGACGCACCAGGCGGAGGCCAGACACGACTTGGCCGAAAGGGCACTTGAAGTGTCGGTCGGGGTGGGCGATGGTGCAGATGAGGAAGCAGGCGTCTAGATTTTGGCTGCCGCAGCTGGCGCCAGCCACCACGCCCTCCCGCGCCTTCCCGCGGTGTTCTCCGCCCCACTCCAGATTGTCCATGAGGCCTTGACCACTCTTGCTTCCGTCTGGCGTTATGTAATCTCCTGCCTGCACGTGCTCCTTCCCTTCACCCTTATTAACAACATTCTTGAAGTTCGAACCCACATACGAGGGTCCCAGAGTGCCTAGGCAGAGTGCCAGGAAGTGATGGGCACGACGCAGGTGCCACCATAGCTGTATGTATACACGGCCCAGGCAGCGCCCCTCAACACCCAGCTCCAGGAACACCTCCGGCCGGTCACACAGGATCTTCAGCTCCATCCTCGACAGCTAGAACACAAGAGCTGTGTGTGTGTGACGCACTAGTTGAAAATTTGATCAATGCAATATAATGAGTCTCGCTACAGTACAGACAGACAGACAGGACCAACAGCAATACTCTCCCCCTAATGTTGCGGGCAGAATAACTATACACATATTACATGTAAGATAATTTAAAGACTTTACTGAAATGGATTTAGTTAAAGTGTATAAGTGTCCGTATGATCTTACCTTGATACTTATGTCAGCGTCCAAGGAGCTGGCGTCGAAAGCATGAAAATGAAGTTTGCCTCGCCTCCACTGTACCCTGGACAGTTTCCCTTCGTCATTGTGGACAGTGAAGGTCAGCGGCCATTTTCTAGGGCTGGAGATACCGATGGCCTTTTGTTTTTTGTTTTCACCACCACCACTATCACCTCCACCACCACTCCTTGTAGCACAGTCATCTCCACCACAGTCATCGTCACCATCACCACCATCACCTCCTCCATATTCAATAACACTATTATCACCACCGTCATTACTACGTTTACTTTTACGTCCTTCCCCATTGCCACTGACACCAACACCACGGCTTCTACCATGAGCACCACCACTATCACCATGAGCACCATCACTATCACCATGAGCACCACCACCATCACCATGAGCACCACCACTATCACCATGAGCACCATCACTATCACCATGAGCACCACCACCACTACTACCATCCTTACCCATTCTTCCTCCATCACCATGAACACTGCCCCTACTTATATCACCACCACCACCATTCACGTCACTATTATTACCACTATCACCACCATTTTCACCACCACCACCACCACCACTCTTTCCCCCATCATTCACACCATTACGGGTTTTAGTTCGAACTGTGGTAAATGAAGTAACTATATCCTCAGCTTCTTCTGCCAACCTCTTTACCTTGTGCTCATAATCCTCAACAGCCTCCACTCCTGTGATATCATCTTGCTGGGCGGTGAGGGCGGCCACTTTAGCCTCTACCTCTGTGATCCGCCCTGTCCATCTGCTTAACGATAAGATCTGGCTCACCGTGTCATGGAAGATGGCTACCGTATGTTGTTTGACTTTCTCCACGATGCAGTTGATGTTAGCCAGTTGACTGGTGATGGCACGTTTCTTATGGAGGAGAGCACGTGCTGGGGTGACCTGGTGACCTAGTGGGTGACCCGTGTAAAGGCAGAGGCCACACAACAGTCGCTTACACTCCCGGCACCAGTAGTTCAGACCGTCACCATGGACGCTGCACCATTCCGGCTGAACCCAAACATGAAAGGAAGATTAATTCGTCACATAAGCACTGAACGAGTGAGTTAACCCCCCCCCTCCCCCTCCCCCCTAACACAAGCATCCATCATTCTAACACAAATTATGGATAGATCGAGGACTACCTTCTAACAGCATGGAGGAAGGATGCCACAATATATCAAAACCAATAAAGAAAAACGAATAATGTTAGATTTAAGGTCAGCTGTTCACGATATCTACATTGTCCATAGTATGATAAACCTGTCGCATATGTTCGGCTCTTTCTTTCATTTTATGTCTTTTGTGGCTCCCTGGATTCTTTTGTGTGGAGGATCAGCTGCCATTGGATGTGGGATTTTTTTTTTATATTATCCCCCGGCTGGTGGAGGTGGAGGTATGATCCATTATGTCTGTCATTTCCTCCGTTTATCTGTTATCCTTTCATTTATCTTTTAACTCTATGATTGATTTCTCCTAAAACAATGAAAATTAACTTAGTAAATTAGATATTTTTATGAATTCTCAATGATCCATCTGTAAGAAAAACGTTTAAATGTGACTTAATTTACCCCTTAGAAGTCCACTTAATTAACATACCTGAGTTAAACATACCTGGGAATCGTTATAATTAGTCGCTAAGTCAAGGAGGGCGAAACTGATAGGCAGGTGTTGTAGGGACACTTGGTGCTTGGTGGGACAGGTGAGACAGGTAAGGTGACCGCCGCCGCACTTAGACTGGTTGACGTCCAGGCAGCTGCGGCAGAAGGTGTGGCCGCAGGGTAACATACGAGGTTCACGGGTCCCCTCGCAGTACACCTCACAACACACGCCACACCTCACCGCCTCATTCATACCTGTCTCTGTTAATTAATGTTCCAGGTTAATTAATACTATCTATCTATCTATCTATCTATCTATCTATCTATCTATCTATCTAAGTATAATTAACCTTGAACTGATAGATAGATAGTTTCAGGTGAAGTATACTTAGATAGATAGATAGATAGATAGATAGATAGATAGATAGATAGATTACAAACAGCTCGAGGTGACTATGTTAGGTTTAGGTTTAGGTTAGGTTAGCTTAGGTTAGGTTAGGTTAGGTTAGGTTAGGTTAGGTACTTATGATACATTCTTCTCGCCTAACCTAACCTAACCTAACCTATTTACTCTTGGTGGTCTATAATACAGGTTGACAGAGAGAGACAGAGAGAGACAGAACCACCCGGGTCACTGTCTCTAAACTAACTGTCTGTTTCATCATCTAACTCTAGTGAAGCGGCTATGAATTCCACTAGTAACAGTATTTAGCTAAGTGCAATATCCCGTTTCCATGGAGCGCCAATCCGTGTTATTAACAGTGGACGGTCGTAAATACTATGTTAGGGATATGTGTACAAATATTAATCTCAGGAGGTGTGTGTGTGTGTGTGTGTGTGTGTGTGTGTGTGTGTGTGTGTGTGTGTGTGTGTGTGTGTGTGTGTGTGTGTGTGTTGTGTGTGTGTGTACTCGCTCAGGTCTACAAATCTTCAGGGATAAAATATACTTATAATACAAATAAATAATTCTATAGCAGTCTAAGTTTTGTAATAATTATATAATACAAAGAAATACATCAGTAGTCTACAAATACAGTATACAAATCCTAAAAAAAATCCTGACAGTCTACAGTATACCTGCCTGTGTGTGTAGCAATTTATGGGGCGCCGAGAATGTAACTACACAGTAACACTCTAAAAAAAACTAAAAAAATTTCGTGGGATGAACAATATGTGAATGAACGTAGGAAGATCAATGCATATCCTGGTAACCTAACCTAACCTAACCTAACCTAACCTAACCTAACCTAACCTAACCTAACCTAACCTAACCTAAGAGAGATAGTGAGATAGCAATGAGAGTTTGTCGGCTCATACGTGTATTACCTGACTCATATATCACGTACAGTCAGCCAAATATGAACTGACTCCACCCTGGGTCTCGTGCTTGCAATTTTACCGGGCAATACTTGGTGAAGGGAGGCTGTTTGTAAAGGTGACATCTTTATAATAATATACTAATCATTGTTATCTAAGGTCACGAGAAGTTTCCAAATGTTCGTATATTTGTTTAAATATTGAAGAAAATTATATTAATGAATTAGCAACTCAACTACTACCACAGCTGCCATAAGATTCTCACATTAAATTTTCTTCATTAGTTAAACAAATATACGAACATACGGTAGTACCTCCCTGTATGAGAGCTGCCTACTACCACCAAACGTATCCGACTCACATATCACTTACCTGGTTCACTCGGTACGTATTTAGCTGACACAGTTGTTTACTTAGCTGGCCCAGTTGTTTACCTAGCTGACACAGTACGTACCTAGCTGACACAGTACGCACTTAGCTGTCACACAAGTAGCACCAGGTAGACTGACTGTATGAGGTGTGGCTCACTGTCATTATCTCTCTTATCAGGGATTAATGTTATATCAGTGATGAAGAAGGTGTGGTGCTGAGGGGTGGTGCTGAGGGCTGGTGTTGAGGGGTGGTGCTGAGGGGTGGTGCTGAGGGGTGGTGCTGAGTGATAGTGCTGAGGGGTGGTGCTGAGTGATAGTGCTGAGGGCTGGTGCTAAGTGATAGTGCTGAGGTGTGGTGCTGAGGGTGGTGCTGAGTGAGTGCTGAGGGGTGGTGCTGAGTGATAGTGCTGAGGGTGGTGCTGAGGGGTGGTGCTGAGTGATAGTGCTGAGGGCTGGTGCTGAGTGATTGCTGAGGGTGGTGCTAAGTATAGTGCTGAGGGCTGGTGCTAAGTGAGTAGGGAGTGGTGCTGAGTGTTAGTGCTGAGTGTTAGGGTGAGTGCTGGAGTGCTTATCTTGTCAGGTGTTTTTGCAAGGTTATCTTAGCGTGCGTGTGTGGAAAGAGTGTAGGGAGAAACAGAGAGGGAGAGAGAGAGAGTGAGTGAGTGTTAGGGAGGAAGGGAGAGAGAGGGAGTGAGTGTAAGGGAGGAAGGGAGAGAGGGAGTGAGTGTAAGGGAGGAAGGGAGACACAGAGGGAAGGAGAGGGACAAAATGAGAGAGGGAGACAGAAAGACGGTAGGAAGAGACAGTGAGGGAGAGAGAGACTAAGTGAGGAAGGAAGAACTATAGAGTAAGGGAGAGACAGAGAGTGAAGAAGGAAAAGACAGTGAAGGACGGATGGAGTGATAAATAGAGTGAGGGAAGAAAAGAGAGAGAGACAATTAACTCTCGTCCTACTCCTTCACTGATACATTTACCCCCTCCCTCCCTCCCTCCTTCCTTCCATCCCCCCTCCCTCCCTTCCCTTCCAATCTCCCTCCCTCCCTCCTTCCTTCCACCCTCCCTCCTCCCTTCCTCCTCCTCCTTCCTTCCACCTCCTCCTTCCATCCCTCCTCCCTCCCTCCTCCCTCCCTCCAACACACCCTTCACAAGATGATAAATGAGTAACCTAAATCACAAAGTTGTGGTCAAGGCTCCGCTTCAAACCTTTTTTCTTTACACCACTCTGTCATAATTCCATTACTTGTGTCACAGAATATCAAGACATAACTTAATATATTTACCCAACAAATTCAGTAATACTTTTCATCTGGTATCATAAAACATCATAAAAAGTTTCTATTTTGGTTCTTAAATTAATAATAGTATCATTACTTTTATCAGAATGTTACTTAGTAGATAGAAACGTTCCATAGAGGGTTATTAGAAACGTTCCATAGAGGATGATTACAAACGTTCTTAAAAGGATTATAGAAACGAAAATCCTATCAGTATCAATGCCACTCTTACGCTTCCATAGATCCACCAAAGTGAGATTCCAGTTACGTGTTGAATTTACTACGGCGGCCCACCCACACGTCAGGGCTAAACGTCGATAAATATTGAGGGAACTGTAACCACCACTAACTCCTGCCCAGGCGTTGTAATTCTTTTCCTTCTGACGATTGATAAAAATGGTATAACACGATGAGAATGGTTAGGGGTACGTAATTATGTGTGAGTGGAAAGAAGGAAGGAAGGTTGGTGAGGAAAGGAGGAGGGTGAGAGAAGGAGGAGGGTGAGAGAAGGAGGAGGGTGAGGAAAGGAGGAGGGTGAGAGAAGGAGGAGGGTGACAGCACAGTATATTGTCTACAAAGGAATAACACCACAAGAAAACATTACACCTCATTCCATAACTATCCTCCGTGAGTACCATTCCAAATTCCTATTCCCATTCCAAATTCCCATTCCCAATTCCTGGAGTCATATGTGGTAACTCGTATATACCAATTCTAACTTCACTGAAAATTCCTCCACTTCATGATTAACCTCCACGATTCCCATTCCTGATTTCGATTCCTGATTGACTGTGAGTATTCCCGGCTATTGTACAAGTAGCTCAAGAGTTCCATCATTCTATCCATCGACATTTGTAAATATTTCCAGCCAAATTTTATAATACATCCTGTCGTGTATATTGTAAATTGTAAAAAAAAAGTGGTTTACTTATGTTTACAGTGACAGTATTGTTTTGTATGTGTTTCGTGTGAGTGTTTTAAGTGGTTTATGTAGGTTTAAGTATATTTTTTTTACTTAAGTGTTTTATATAATTAAATGTTTTATATAATTTTTTTTTTAATTTTTACAACCAGACTTGACCAATACTTGACACAGGTAGAGACACAGGTGACAGTACAGGTATTAGTCTTAGTGAGTAAGTCTCAATATCACAGGTACAAGTACAGGTACCACGCAGATTTCATTAATTAAAAAAAAAAGGTATATTGGTTAAGTTAGAAGTAGAGGTAAAGATACTGAGAGAAAACAGACCAACGATCAGGAAGAGAGACAGAGAAAGAGAGAGACAAGATGAAGAAGAACAAGAGAGAGAGAGAATAAGAGAGACAGGGAGTGAGAGACCAATGGGAAGAAAGGAGGGTTAAGGTAGAAAGTGAATGAACAAAAAGGAAAGAAAATAGAGAAAGAAGGGATGAAAGAGAGTGAGAGAAACTGCCTCAGCTTCTGTCGGAATAACCATTATCTAGTTATTTATTACACGCGCTCTTGGGAGGGAGGAGAAGGGTATTGTAATCACCTTGTGTGTGTGTGTGTGGCTGTGCGTGTTTGTGTGAGTGTATATATGTATGTACGTATGTATGTGTGTCTGTGTGTGTGTGTTTAAATTCTGTCCACACTAGGAGTAAGGATAAAATAGAATGGGGGATTTGTCGATAGGTTGAAGGGGAGATGGTTGTTATATTTCCGCAAGGGGTGAGGGTCACTTAGGGTCAGTGTTGTATCCACGGTCTTGTTGTTTGTCTCTTGGGAGTTGTAATCTGGAGCCTAAAAGGTGGAGGAGGGAAGGGAGAACCAATCCTAACATGGCCGGAGAAGCTTGGACTCCGCCTCCACCTGAAGCTTCGGGTATAAGCCAATATAAATGATGTCACGGTATAATCCAATATAAATGATGTCAGTGATGTCCCCCTTCCCTAACTCATACATAAAACAGAGACAATAATGTGGCTTTGGTTATATATGGAATTAGGTACAATTAACGTAAAGATGATAAGAAATATATAGACGTGTAAAATATTCCTCCCCCAGTCGAGATCTGTGTTGACATTGAGTGAATACAAGTCATGTGTTTGTCCCTTTAGCGTAGTATAGCAGGGACCAACAGTGGTATGTGGTAGCCAGGTAGGTATTACATTTAGGATATGATTTAAAGACTAATATGTTATAATTATTAATATAAATGGATATGTTTACAGGTGCATAGTAACCTTTGTATGGTATTTTATTGTATGGCCTTCGTGGGGTGACATGTGTTATATAGGGTGAAATGACGGTCGAATAGTAATACCCTAACCTAACCTAACCCAAGAACCGTGACAACATTTCTCCTCAGTTTGAACACAGCCAAATGTTTTAGTGACCACCGTACTCTGGCAGGACTCCCCCTCACCCAAGAGGAAAAATAAACTATAAACGTTTCTCTATTTGGTTACCATTATGGCGCCAGCAGCAGCTATTGTTGTTACACTGAAGACACGTTTGTTTAACAGTACTGCTATTTTCTCTCGTATTTGCCCTCAATCATGTGTGCGTGTGAGGTGTTTGTGTGTGTGTGTTGTGTGAGGGAGGGTGTTTGTGTGTGTGTTGTGTGAGGGAGGGTGTTTGTGTTGTGTGTGTTGTGTGAGGGAGGGTGTTTGTGTTGTGTGTGTTGTGTGAGGGAGGGTGTTTGTGTGTGTGTGTTGTGTTAGGGAGGGTGTTTGTGTTGTGTGTGTTGTGTGAGGGAGGGTGTTTGTGTGTGTGTTGTGTGAGGGAGGAGATTTTGTGTTGTGTGTGTGTGTGTGAGGAGGGTGTTTGTGTGTGTGTAGGAGGGTGTTGTGTTGTGTGTGTTGTGTGAGGAAGGTGTTTGTGTGTTGTGTGAGGGAGGGTGTTTGTGTTGTGTGTGTTGGGGAGGGTGTTTGTGTGTGTTTGTGTGTGTGTGTTGTGTGAGGGTTTGTGTGTGTGTGTTGTGTGAGGGAGGGTTTGTGTGTGTGTGTTGTGTGAGGGAGGGTGTTGTGTGTGTGTGTGTGTTTGTGTTGTGAGGGAGGGTGTTTGTGTGTGTGTGTTGTGTGAGGGAGGGTTTGTGTGTGTGTTGTGTGAGGAGGGTGTTTGTGTTGTGTGGTGTGAGGGAGGGTGTTTGTGTGTGTGTGTTGTAGGAGGTGTTTGAGGGGGTGTTTGTGTGTGTGTGTGTTGTGGGGAGGTGTTTGTGTGTGTGTGTTGTGTGAGGTGTTTGTGTGTGTGTGTTGTGTGAGGGAGGGTTTGTGTGTGTGTGTTGTGTGAGGAGGTGTTTGTGTTGTGTGTTGTGTGAGGGAGGATGTTTGTGTGTGTGTGTGTGTGAGGAGGTGTTTGTGTTGTGTGTTGTGTGAGGGAGGATGTTTGTGTGTGTGTGTGTGAGGAGGTGTTTGTATTGTGTGTGTTGTGTGAGGGAGGGTGTTTGTGTGTGTTGTGTGAGGAGGTGTTTGTGTTGTGTGTGTTGTGTGAGGAGGGTGTTTGTGTGTGTGTGTTGTGTGAGGAGGGTGTTTGTGTGTGTGTGTTGTGTGAGGAGGTGTTTGCGTTGTGTGTGTTGTGTGAGGGAGGGTGTGTGTGTGTGTGTGTGTGAGAGGGGTGTTTGTGTTGTGTGAGGAGGGTTTGTGTGTGTGTTGTGTGGGAGGGTTTGTGTGTGTGTGTGTGTGAGGGAGGGTGTTTGTATTGTGTGTTGTGTGAGGGAGGGTGTTTGTGTGTGTGTGTTGTGTGAGGAGGTGTTTGTGTTGTGTGTGTTGTGTGAGGAGGTGTTTGTGTGTGTGTGTTGTGTGAGGGAGTGTTGTGTTGAGGGTGTGTTGTGTGTGTGTTGTGTGAGGGAGGGTGTTTGTGTTGTGTGTGTTGTGTGAGGGAGGGTGTTTGTGT